AATTTACCAATTAAATAAAAAGAAATGATTGATTTATCTATCAAAGAAAACACGTGGCTGGCTCTCATGCAAAATCCAATTTAAATAAAATACTAATAAATAAAAATTTCTTTAAACATCAATATTTTAAGGTTTGTTCAAAAGTGATTCTGAAAATTGATTTTTTGACCATTTAAGAGAAAAGTAGGTCCTACCTGTGAAAGAAGAAGTAAAAAATGACGACTTCAATAATGAAATAACGGTCAAAAATTTGATATTTTGGAGTGAAAAATCAATACCAAACATGGACTTAAGCTTGAATTATTTGAATTAAATTTTTCTCAAGTAAAAAACTTCTAATTAATTACTAGCTATAAAAAGAGTCCAATATCAATATATGTATTTTCCCTCTATCAGAATCTAATTATTGGTCAAAATAACATTAAACTTAACTATTTCATTTTAGTCTGTCAACTTTCAAAATTATTAAAAGGCATCTAGATTAAAATCTCTATCCCCAAATAATTAAATTCTATAAACATTCGGGGCATTACATTCGAAATCCGGTACCTTTGATTTAAACAACCGGGGAGCATCGACATAAATCTTTTCATTTAAATTTTAAATTTACATATTTGTTTCTACCTTCTTTTAATCATCGTTGATTTTAATTTATTGATTTTTTTATTTTTTATTTTTTACAAGTAGTCAGCTCCAATAGAGGATCGAGTCATGAAAAATCAAAGGTTCAACCATCACATATTGATGTTTTTCAATTTTATTCTATTTTACCCTTTTTTTCCTTTTTTCTTTTTTTAGCGTCTCACTCTTATCTCTACTTTTTATTAATTTGCATTTGATGGTTCCCTTGAAAAAAAGTCTATTGGGAAGACGTAAAAAATTATTTGCCCCAAATATTTTGAATTAAGCAAAAAATAATAACAAATACAAAAATTTGACAAAATATTTACCTCGATTTCTCAACAATCAAATCGAATATTTGAACACAATCATTAGAAACAAAAATATGCTAATTGATCAAAATAGCGTGGATGAATCTTGGGACAATTTCTTTAGGAACTTTGTTGGCCAGGCCACCACCTCGCCTGGAATTTCTGGCCAAACAATCCAAGAGAGTATGCGGCTGTTGTGCTTGTGAGAGCTTACCAGGTTTATGGTCACATGAAAGCCAAGTTGGACCCATTAGATTTGGAACAGAGGCCTATTCCTGATGATCTAGACCCAGCCCTTTATGGGTTTACAGAAGCTGATCTCGATAGAGAATTTTTTATTGGTGTTTGGAGAATATCTGGGTTCTTGTCTGAGAATCGTCCTGTGCAAACCTTGAAAGCGATACTGACTAGGTTAGAACAGGCTTATTGTGGAAGAATTGGTTATGAATACATGCATATTGCTGATCGTGAAAAGTGTAATTGGCTAAGAGACAAGATTGAGACTCCGACACCAACACAATACAGCCGTCAGCGCCGTGAGGTTATCCTTGACAGGCTTATATGGAGCACCCAGTTTGAGAACTTCTTGGCAACAAAATGGACTGCAGCAAATAGGTTTGGGCTAGAAGGTTGCGAGACATTGATTCCTGGCATGAAGGAGATGTTTGATAGATCAGCAGATCTTGGGGTAGAGAGCATTGTCATTGGAATGTCACATAGAGGCAGACTAAATGTTCTGGGCAACGTCGTTCGGAAACCACTGCGACAGATATTTAGCGAATTTAGTGGCGGTACAAAACCTGTGGATGAGATTCGCCTCTACATTGGAACTGGAGATGTTAAATATCATTTGGGAACATCTTATGACCGGCCTACAAGGGGTGGGAAAGAATTCACTTGTCTTTGGTTGCAAATCCTAGTCACTTGGAAGCTGTGGACCCTGTCGTGGTTGGGAAAACTAGAGCCAAACAATACTACTCCAATGATGTGGATAGAACGAAGAACATGGGTATTTTAATTCATGGAGATGGTAGTTTCCCTGGACAAGGTGTCGTGTATGAGACATTACATCTTAGCGCTCTTCCAAATTACACTACTGGTGGGACCATTCACATTGTGGTAAACAATCAAGTGGCATTCACTACTGACCCAAGATCAGGAAGATCCTCACAGTATTGTACAGATGTTGCCAAAGCTCTGAGTGCTCCAATCTTCCATGTCAATGGTGATGATGTAGAGGCAGTTGTTCACGCCTGTGAACTTGCAGCAGAGTGGCGTCGGACATTCCATACTGATGTTGTGGTAGATATTGTATGCTATCGTAGATTTGGGCACAATGAGATTGACGAGCCATCCTTCACCCAGCCTAAAATGTACAAGGTTGGTGATGTTTATTTTCCTTCTGACTTAATGGAATCATCTGTTTTAAGGGACAATGACCCTCATTGTTAGCTTAAGTGGAACTCTTTCTTCTCAAAATTAACTATCTTTCTTACTGATGCTAGATATGTAAGAGTATCATTCCTTTTACTGGTCTTTAGAAGTCTCACATCGCCTCTGGATGGAAATTAACTTTCTTTCTCACTGTTTAATAGTAAAAATTCTTTTTGCTAGTCTTTAGAAATCTCACTTTGCCTTTGGGCGGAAATTAAATTTCTTTCTCACTGGTGCTATACTTTTGAAAGTATTATTCCTTTACGGATCTTTAGAAGTTTCACTTTGCCTCTGGATGCATTTTGTAGGTCATCTGAAATCATCCGTCAGCACTTGAGATCTACCAAAAGAAACTGTTAGAATCTGGCCAGGTTTCAAAAGAAGACGTCGATAAGATAAACAGCAAGGTCCTATCGATTCTTAATGAAGAATTTCTGGCCAGCAAATATTATGTCCCTCAAAGAAGGGACTGGCTTTCAGCTTACTGGATGGGTTTCAAGTCTCCTGAGCAACTTTCACGTATTTGTAACACTGGGTAATATTATGTTCATCAATCTGTTTTATATTTTCTATTATAAGTCAATGAGTTTCGAGGCTGTAAACTTCTCTAATTTGCAGTGTCAAACCAGAGATCTTGAAGAATGTTGGAAAGGCTATTACAACCCTACCTGAAAATTTTAAACCTCATAGAGCAGTGAAGAGGATTTTTGACGATCGCGCAAAGATGATAGAGACAGGTGAGGGTATTGATTGGGCAGTGGGAGAAGCACTTGCTTTTGCAACATTGCTTGTAGAGGGAAATCACGTGAGGTTGAGTGGGCTGGATGTGGAGAGAGGCACTTTCAGTCACAGACATGCTGTTCTACATGACCAGGAAACGGGGGACCAGTACTGCCCCTTGGATCATGTTATGATGAACCAAAATGGAGAGATGTTTACTGTAAGCAACAGGTAAGTTGTGGTACCATATCTGCTTTCTATATATGTAATTTGCCCTTATTGCTTTCCTTTTGTGTCCTGGCAGACCTTTTCGTGTCAATTTGAAAAGTTTTACGGAATAGGTTTTATGCTGGTTATAAGCTTGGCAAGTTGGAAACCTTTCTAATCATGATTGAATTTACTTTTAATTTCGGTATTGTCCACACGTTAACATATATTATCATGAATTTCACTTTGAAAAATTGTCCAGATGGCTGCAAGACATGTCAAACAGGACGTTATTTTTGAAATGGAGGAAATTTTGATTAAATTGTTTCTCAAATTATTATTTTTTGGATATGTTGTTTGCACTTTGATTTTAACTGAGTCTCGGATGAGGAACCATTAATGGTACTCATTTAAAAACAACAAGGCTTTTTAAGAATTATGGAAATCTATCAGGTTCAAGGAATCAAGGTGGATAATTTTATTGAATACTAACAATAATCAGACTTCTACAGGAGTGTATCATGGATAGATATATCTATTACTTCTTCAGCAAAAGATAAAAATTTATTTATTTAATTTAAATAAAATGAACCCTCCTTTTAGTCGCAGGTTTAAAACCAAAAAAGATTTTTTTTTCCTCGATGTTTTCTAATTCTATTTTACCTGATTTACATGCTGATGCATTTAGTCCATTGGTGCATCTAGGATTTTGCATTATAATATCTACAAAGTTTATAACCACGTGAGATGCATCTTTACCCTAGCTCAACTAACTGAATCGAAACAAAGACCAATAATTAAATATAAATTTTTTCTTTCCAAATTTAGTCCATAAAATCCTTCCTTTCACGTTAAAAAAATGTTTGACATTATGCTTTTTTATTCCTGAAGTTTTAAGGCTTTATTGCATCATGGTGTGAAGTCTTTGTATGCATTACCCATGGTATCTCATTGAGGATTTTTTCCCCCCACTATTCATATAAAATCAACAAGGCTTTTTTAGAATTAGGAAGTCTGTCAGGTTCAAGGTGGATAATTTCATTGCATACTGACAGTAATCAGACTTCTACAGGAGTGTGTCATGGATAGATATATCTATTACTTCTTCAGCAAAAGATAAAACTCTAGTTATTTAATTTAAATAAAATAAACCCTCCTTTCAGGCACATCTAGGATTTTGCATTATAATATCTACAAAGTTTATAACCACATGAGATGCATCTTTATCCTAGCTCAACTAACTGAATTGAAACAAAAACCAGTAAGTAAATATAATTTTTTTCTTTTCCAAATTTAGTCCATAAAATCCTTCCTTTCATGTTAAAGAAATGTTTGACATTATGCATTTTTATTCCTGAAGTTTTAGGGCTTTATTGCTTTATGAAGAATGGGACTCAAACAGGGGCTAAATCTTCTTTCAAAAGGGAGTGAGAATGAATGTAGGTAAGTTAATAAACATGCACTTAATGGTGAGTTTCGGGTCCAAGATTCACTGCTTTGCCCTGAAGCAATATATCTATGAAAAGATCGGGTGTTTAGGCATTTTGTCCTACTTTATGTCGTCAAGAATCGTATGCTGGACTGTAACTAACCTGAAGACAGTCTATTTAAATTGAAGAAATATTGGAGTGCAGAAAATATAATTATAGTTTTGTTTCCTATCGAACTTATATCTAACAAGAATTTTAATGAAAACCAGGAATTAATTATTTTCTGCGTCGTATGCATCTTTTGTTCGTCTTTAACAGAGCTCTCTTTTTCTGCAATCAGGTTTTTTATTATCTAGGCGAACTTAACGACTCCTTATCCTATGCCCTTGGAGCTGGCCCTCTATTTGATGTTTCAGAGGATTCGGACTATGTTAATACCCTACTTGGTATGACTTTATTCCTCATTCAGTTTTTCTCAGATGAACTGCGTAAATATGTTTATTTCTTCAAGAAAGACTAATGTCTCTGGCTCACACCTTTCATGAGAAGTATATGGAATTTATTAAAAATTAGTACGCTTTCTTGATAATTTATTACAGAGCGAGAACACAGTCTTACCAGATGCTTTCTTGACTCCTTGCATGCTAATAGTAATTTATTATATCTTGTGTCACTCAGCTAAAGCAATAGATGAGTATGCCAATTTCAAGACTAAAGCTTCTGAAGGGAATGACCAATCTGCAGTGGTGGATCCTAGATTGGAGACTATTGTTGAGAGAATGCTTGATAAGTATGGGAACTTGTGGTTTTATTGATACCAAAATTAGCTGTATCCTGTATGTTTTTTTTTTTTTTTTTTTTTTTACTTTGGGGGATTATATTTCTAAGTGTCTACTCCTTTTCTTTTACCTTTTCTGTTCTATGGGTATATGGATGTGCTTTCTCTGTGTGTGTGTGTGTGTCTGTGATCCCTGGGAAGGGTGTATGGGTGCGTGGGTTAGTGAAGGAAATATTAGTGCCACAAAAATTAACCACCCCATTTCACCTCAAATATCAAATTTTCGAACTTACATTAATGAAGTAAATTTATGTTGGAATTGGTATTCTCTATATCTACTTTTGTTCCATGTGTTTTGTATATCTGCTTCACCACATACAATCAAGCAGTTCTGATATGACCTCTTGACATCTAGGGGAGGGTTAAATGAAGAAATCATGTATATCTTTGTTTTTTGATTTCTCTGGGTTTCAATTGTTAACTTTTGGACTTCTTATACATTTAAGTTATACCTATCGTGATTATCATATTTTCAGCCACATCGCAAGTTTTTTGTTTATGCCTTTAGTTCACTACAATTGGTTGCTTGTCCAAGAAATTGAATTTAACCCATCACATTATAAATTTTGATTTCAGATGAGTGACGACCATCCTTATAATATCCCTGAGATGGACCCTACCCTTAGGACACAAATACAGGAGTACAATTGGCAGGTGGTGAATGTCACCACTCCTGCAAATTATTTCCATGTATTGCGGCGTCAAGTAGAACTAACTGGGCATATATTTGTGCTCTTATATAGGTTGTCTTGATTTTCTTGTCTTTCACATCTTTATGCCACAGATACACAGGGAATTCCGCAAGCCTCTCATTGTGATGTCACCGACTTACTTCGTCACAAAGACTGCAAGTCAAATTTATCTGAGTTTGACGACGTTCAAGGCCATCCAGGATTTGACAAACAAGGGACCAGATTTAAACGCCTGATAAACGCCTGATAAAGGGCCAAAATGATCACTCAGATCTTGAAGAGGGAATTAGACGTCTGATTCTTGGCTCAGGAAAGGTGTGAAAAACTATTCTGTTGTTCCTGTCTTCCATTTTTTCTTCACTAATCCTTAGTTATTTCTTTTTCCCCTGTTTGGGTACATCATTGTACAAATTTTTATGCACAAAAAGCATTTTTGCTTGCTGTGCAGGTTGATGAGGAGAGGAAGAAAACAAATTGATAGGACATTGCAATTTGTAGGGTGGAGCAGCTTTGTCCCTTCCCTTATTACCTCGTCCAGCGGGAACTTAAGCGATACCCAAGTATGTCTTTTACATTGACAATTGTATTATCCTGTTCGAAGTTTTTCAATCCATTTTTTTATTTACTCCTAACGTGTAAGCCAATCCATGCTTGTTGGATATGAGAAACACTATCAAGATTGTCTCAACTAAATTGTATTTAGGCACAAGAAAAATAGATACAAGATGAATGAAGTTGCATTCAAAGACAGTTTTCTGGCCACGGGGACTAAATTGACTCATCTTGCCAACTCATTTTGGTTTTATTTCTTTGTTGATTCTTTCAGATGCAGAGGTTATTTGGTGTCAGGAAGAGCCAATGAACATGGAAGCTTACAGTTACATTGCGCCTCGTCTACGTACTGCTATGAAAGCACTGGGAAGGGGTACTATGGAGGACACCAAGTATGTTGGCCGTGCTCCATCTGCTGCCACAGCTACCGGTTTCTACCAGGTTCATGTCAAAGAGCAGACCGAACTAGTTCAGAAAGCTGTACAGCCTGATCCAATCGAATCTCCATAATCTCTCAGTGGTCAACCAATGAATTTCGAAGAGAAATTTCATGTTAAGAAATTTTTTAAGCACTTCAGTTTCTGTTGGTTCTTTGGAAAGGTATTTCAAGAGATGCTATTTTGTTTGCCGACATCAAATTCTCACATAAAATGAATAACGCTTTAGAATTTTCTTCAGTTTGTTACTACTAAAGGTGAGAATGAAATTTACTGAATTGATAATGATCCTTGAGAAGGTAACCTTTCTTTATACTAAGGGTCGATTTGGTTGGCTTCAATTCCATGAAAAATGTCACATTCGAGGAATTTGTTTTCTATTTTAACTGATTGATACGAAAGTGGAAATGGGGTTCGAATTATAATGTACAAACGCGTGAAGTAAATTTTTGGCCAATTGAGTGGAAAATGCATTTCTATGGTTTTGGTTGGTTTTTCTTTTCTAACTTACATAATTGGTTTGCCTTTTCCACTTTCGCGATCATACAAGCCTAAGAGTTCAACCTTTAAGATGTAATAGAATCAAACTGATTAATTAGGGTGCGGTTGGTTTAGTTTTCCATTTTCATTTTCGGTTTCAAAACGTTTTGGACGTATTTCATGTTTTGAGAATTTATAACTGCATATGTTCAAAATGATAAAAAGTCCTTTTGTATTTTCAGTTATAAATATTAACTCGTTTTCGAAAATGCATTTTCAAAAAACAACAGACCAAACGCGTTTTCCGTATTTTCGAAAACGGAAAACCAACCCCAACCTTATTAATTGTTTGAATTGATGGAATTGAAACTTAAATAAAGGTTCATAATACTAATTTCATAGCATCCATTTAAATTATCATCATAATGTTTTAATTACATATCAAGTCATCACTATAACATTATTAGCAATATATTAGAGCCTGTTTGGGGGCGATTTTTTCATCAAAAAAATTGATTTTTTGATCGTTATTTTATTATTTCAATTGTCATATTGGACTTTTTCTCTCACAGGTGAATCCCACTTTTCTTTTAACGGTCAGAAAATCAATTCTCAAAATTACTTTCAAATAGGCTCTAAAGTGGATCGTCTTAACTATGCTTATGAGAAAAATATCAGTTCTATCGAACCTAATATCAAATTGCATCAAACTATCTTTTAAGCTTGATTTAATTCGATTATTTTGAAAAGTCACAAGAATTGAGAAGATACTTGAAAGTAATACTTCATAGAAAGAAAGGTCAAAAAAGAAATACCTAATTAATATTCTTAACTCAATAGGATATGAATATCTAACCCAAACTGGTAGAGATTAAAATTAGATTTTTCGTAAATTTTAATAAAATTTGATGAAATACATAGTTGAAAAATTGTTGATTCCATAAAACCTATAGTTAAATTAAAATTTTAATATCTACCAAATACAGTCCTAATATCCATATAATAGGAATATGGTATCCCAAATATCCGCCGATGCAGGTGGCCCAATGTTAACATACGCTGCAGGATAGATTTCAGTTCAGTTACGAATAACTTATTTAGAATATTAAAAAGAAATAATTAATTTCGGCAAATAATTTTCCAAATAATAAAAATATTTACAATAACAAAATAAATAGAGGTAATTAAAGTATATATTAATGGCAGAAACTCCCAAACAAGTGAAACAACGCGCCCTTTTTACTCCATCCCCGGAATCACAACAGCACACAGGTTCCTCTCCTCCCCCCATAAATGCTGTATGTATATATGTAAATGTAGTTACATTGATGAATTGGTTGAGTGGGCGTCTTGATTATGTATGTGAATTATGAAATTGGGTGTTGCAGGTGAGGAGTTACGAACAACTTATTTAGAATATTAAAAAGAAATAATTAATTTCGGCAAATAATTTTCCCAATAATAAAAATATTTACAATAACAAAATAAATAGAGGTAATTAAAGTATATATTAATGGCAGAAACTCCCAAACAAGTGAAACAACGCGCCCTTTTTACTCCATCCCCGGAATCACAACAGCACACAGGTTCCTCTCCTCCCCCCATAAATGCTGTATGTATATGTGTAAATGTAGTTACATTGATGAATTGGTTGAGTGGGCGTTTTGATTATGTATGTGAATTGTGAAATTCGGTGTTGCGGGGGGGGGGGGGGGAGGGAGGGAGATCTGATGTACTTGCTTCCGGATTTCTGCATACTGCTTCATGAAGGTTGCCGTAGAGCATAAAGGTATTTCTGTCCAGTGCCCCTTTCTCTGTGTGAATATATGGGTGTGGGAGTGGGAGTGTGAGTGTATGTATAAGTATTGGTTCGAATTGTATTGATTGAACATTTTTCTAATTTTTACTATTCGTTTGACAGCGTGGAGTTTGTTAAATTTAGAGTAATTAAATTATTATTTTTTTAATTTTGATTTTACTTTTTTACGCTTTTTAGTTGCCCCGTCGATTGAATTTGTGGTTGTTTTTTCATTTCATTCTATCTGGAAAGAATATAAAGGGATGATTTTTGTTCATAGTTTGCGTGTTCTTTCTATCTGGAAAAGAATAGAAAGAAATGATTTTTGTTCATAATTTGCGTGCAGCAAGATTAGACTTTCCGTGTTTGTATGTTATAGTAATCCTGAGATAGGGGCTAATGTGTATGTGGATCAGACTAACCAAAAAATATTTACTCAGAACTCCTGCTGAGGGGGAGGGCTATGATTCACTGCGATCATGAATGTATAAATTGTGTTTGTTTTAACTTTTTTGTGTCCTAGCTTCTGTGTCCGTTCAAACCATAGATGTGATTATTATGATTGTAAGTCATAGTGAGGGCTTCACCTGTACCTCTGAGGGGTGGAACTTGGAAGTAAAGCCTGTATTGGTTATAAAAGAAAGACCTATTTACATGAGGTGTAGGCTTGCAATAAAAAGGAAACTGAAATACTGGGACACAATTTGCTAGAAGGAAAAAGTTATTAGTTAACAAGAGTCAAGAAGAAAGCATTTTTTTTAGCTGTTGCAGCACTGTACTTCATATTATGTCATAACATATATATAGAATACTAGGACAAGGAGTTTTGAGCTATATGATAGATGCCAATCTAGTTCACATGGGTGCTGCCACGTCATTGTAGTCTAGAAGGTTCACTAGTTAGTTTGTAGGGTCAAAAATGTAATAAGTCGAGTAGATATTGCTTATAAATGGAAATGGGGGTTGGGGGATTAGGCATGCACGTTGATGTTGAGTCAAGGGGGAGAGATCTAAGCCTCTCGAAAGTTTAGAATTGTTCTCTTATTTTCTGTAATCAGTCTTTTCTTTAATCAAGAGTTGCTTCTTTAGTATTTGATCTTGTTCCTTCAACTGGTGTCCTATCAAATGGTATCAGAGCAACCATTCTGGCCCTGGGGTGTTACATCCGATGAAGAAAAGCAGGTAGAAGTCCGGGTTATTAATTTGAAATCAAGGATCGATGAACTGCAATCACATTTCCAGGAAGAGATTGGAGTAATGAAGTCTGAGATCCGAAAGGATATGTCCAGGTTGCTGGAGAAGTTTGAAGTGATGACGAAGAAATGGGAAGGACTAGAACAGGACAGGAAGGAAAAGGGACTCACAACCAATTCGACTGAAACCACAGTCGATTCGGAGATTCCACTTAAAACCCACGAGGCAGGAAAAAGCATAGCAGTAAGGATTCGTCGAGAGGAGTTTGGGGAAGTAGAAAATGAAAGTCGACCACCAGAAATGCCGCGGTTCATGGGAGATAATATCACCGGCAGTTGTTTTAGAGAAGAGATCCGGCAGCCATTGATAAGTTGGGAAGAACTAAAGATATTGTTGCTCAAACACTCTCAACCGTCAAACGAAGGGACAATTCTGGAGAATTTTATGGCGTTGAGGCAAGAGGAGACAGACAGGGATCACCGAAGGCAATTCGAAGTACTTGCAGCTCCATTACGAGCAAGTTCTGAATCGGTGAGGGAAGGCAGCTTTATTATTAGGCTGAACCCAATCATTAGGGCTGAAGTTTTAAGGCTAAAACCTCCAGACCTGGACCATAATATGGAGCTAGCCCAATGGGTTAATGATAGTAGTAAATCTTTAAAAGAGGCCCAAATTATTTCAGGCCCAATAACTACATATAGCCCAAAATACACCAGATTATTCGTTGGAGAGGGTGAAGGTCAGAAAGGAAGGAGTGATAGCTAGCTCGCCTAAGCCCCCTCTTAGTACTAAAATTCCCCTCAAAATCGAGGAAATCTGGGCTCAAGTGAAAGGCAGGAGCCGTCTCAATGAGACATGGCAATCTGAGAATCGAGGCCGGAAATTGGAGATGCCGGATTTCAACGGCGAAATCCTCGACAAGTGGCTTTTTAGGGCGGAGAGATACTTTAATAGGAATCAATTTTCTGATTGGGACTACTGGACGAAGCCTGCAGAGAAAAAGCCGCCCGAGGAGAAGATGTCGGAGCTCATCGAGGGGAGGAATTTCTCTGGTAATGTGCTGAAACTGGAGAAGAAGAAGAATGATGGGAAGTTACTGGACTCGATGGATTTGGACTTGGGCAAGGAAGTGGTCCAGAGCGTTGATGGTGGGATTTGGACTTTGGAGCTGCAGACCACAGAAAATACGAGCTACGAATTTCCTATCACCTTGGTTCAGTTTTTGGAAATCCCGCAAAGGGGTACGACTGGTTATGGAGTTTGTATGAATAACATTTTAACTGTTGGTGGACGGCACAACTACGAGTTCACTCCAAAAATGGTTCACCTATATGGAATTTCAAATTTTGAAGTTCAACCCCATCTCCACCTTGAGGACAAGGTGGATTTTGAGGCGGCCGGTAATGATAGATGCCAATCCAGTTCACATGGGTGCTGCCACGTCATTGTAGTCTAGAAGGTTCGCTAGTTAGTTTGTAGGGTCAAAAATGTAATAAGTCGAGTAGATATTGCTTATAAATGGAAATGGGGGTTGGGGGATTAGGCATTCACGTTGATGTTGAGTCAAGGGGGAGAGATCTAAGCCTCTCGAAAGCTTAGAATTGTTCTCTTATTTTCTGTAATCAGTCTTTTCTTTAATCAAGAGTTGCTTATTCAGTATTTGATCTTGTTCCTTCAACTGGTATCCTATCACTATGCAGCCCAACCTCTTAGTAATCAGCAATTATATACGAGTTTTGGGAGGGATAATGGTTTATGGATTGATGTCTTTGTCCCATGCACCTATTTTGGTGTGTGATGGGAAGCATGTCAAATATTTTGAAGTGCACTGCACGTCCTGTTTAAAGCTTCCAGGGATTTTAACAATTGATCTGGCTTTCCCTTTTTGTATACGCTAGTTGGCATTTTGAGTGGAATGCTTGTGAGATGAGATGATTGTGATTTGTGATGCAGGCTACAAAATCTAGAAAAAGAAAGTTTAAATAATCTTTGGATGAATGAAGACTTGTTTGGCGAAATTCTGCATCTCAAATCACTTTTAGAATTGAAATAGTATTACTAAATTACCTTTAAATTTAAATTCAAATGTTTTAATGTCAAGGACTTTTGTAAATATAGAAAATATGTAATACACGAACTCTGGAAACCAATGTTCTTACGAATACATTAATAAGTTATTAAATTAGAATTTGAATCGTGCTATGTTTTGGAGTCTATACTTCCTATCATGAGATCGTTGTGTTGACACTATACTTCCTAACGTGAGAATGTTGTGTTGACACCACCATTCACCGTTTGGGCTTCAAGGCAATCCCTTCGCTAGATCTGGTTTGATCCTTGCAAGGGCAAAGTTCTCTCTCTTCTCTTCTCCTTCTATTATTTTCTTTTTCTAAGTTTAAATGAGACAAAACCGAAAACAGCTACTAATATTCTCTTCTTTGACCAGTAAACCTTTATGCATCCAAAATTACCAAAAAATATATGCCCACTGCAAATTCTTAAGGGGTATGAGACTGGAATGAATATTTTTATTTATTTTTTTGGATCATGAAACAACGCAAATGATTTTAGAAGATAATAAAAAAATAAAAATAAAAATAAAAAGAAAAAGAAAAAAGAAACACTACAATACCAGTAATAGTAGCATAATTTCATTAAAAAGGAAAGGGGAATGTTAGAATGGCTCACATTCTTCGTTGCAAAGCACTCCACTCTATGTCAGCCAAATGGTTGTAAGAGTAGCTGTAGACGTGTAAGATGTGCCGTGTAGTCCAGGCCCAGCACATCACCAATCCATGTGGAAGTCTTTGGGCTCTCTACATTTAACCACAAGGCCTACTGGGGCATAGTAGTGTGAAGGCAGACTGGGAAGACCCACTTTACCCCTCTAGTTTGGTGCTTTCATGGATTCAATGTTATATGACTTGAAAATACATACGGAAAACTACAGTTTGCGACAATATTGTTTAGAATCAATTTTGAGATTGGCATTGAGGTTATGTGTCTTAGAGATGGTGGGAGCAAATTGAGCTGGGACGTAAATGTAGGACACTAGCCATGGTATCATATTCCTGATCCGTCTCATCTTGCTAGAGTTAAGAGGGAAGATTCTACTTGAAATACCAAAATATTGATGCTAGTTGCCAAAATAATTCTTTTAGTGTTTCTATATGTCAGCTGCCACCCTGCGCTACTACACACTTTGCATTGCAACTAAAATAATTCAGCAATAAGATATCGCAGAAAAGAAAAACATCTAGTTTAATAAATATACTCATTGTAGGCAAAAATGGGGAAGCTATGAATTCACACATATATAGATAATAGGGTAAATATGTATCGATAAAATGAAACGCAAATTCTACAGATGGATTGAGCCAAATAATATTACCCGAAGCCTTTATAGTTTCTGTAGCACATCTGATCCGAAACAAAAGATATTAGTACTTTTGTTATATTATTATCTTTTTACCTAAAAATGAACAGACCGTGACAGCAAGATATGCTATCTGTATTGGTCTATGGCTTAATTTTGCTGCACTTATAGGACAGAGCCCTGGGTTTTTCCTTTTAGGACCTTCATTGAGAGGACAAACTAGAGGTGGATGGAGAGGAGTTAAAACATCATCATCTTGATTTCCTTCCAAGCCCCATTACTTAAGTGCAGACTCTGGCAAACTTTGCTGCAAAGCCAAAAAAGGGTCCCCATAAATGGCAAACAATCTCTCTGTAGAAATGTAGAATGTGAAACTAGTGGTAGTGAGTGGTGATTATATTTCATTCACCTCCAGTGACAAACATTGGGGTGGGGGTGGGAATTCGTGTGCCATGTTTGGTATTTTATATTGGACCATATTGAATAGGATTGGAGAAGTAAAATAAGTCTAATTTTTATCCTTGTGCTATCCACTGATGTCAAATACTGCTTATCAAACATGCTTGTGGGATCTATGCTGCTCATACTTTATTTTGGTCCCTGGGAAATCATGTTCAAAATTACCAATCTCTCGCTGAGATAACTTCTCATTTTATTTAGAACATAGCCGACTTCTGACAAAAATATGGAATAGATTGATGACTCCATATCCCAGTAAAATTAGATTGATAGCACTTGCCTCAGAGAAGAGCTTATATGATTTCTTATATCGTCCGAACCATCACTATTTGAATTCTGATTTTAATATTTTCATGATATTATTTTATTTTTTGAAATGCAGATACCATGGAAAGAAACTGTGAGGCATCCATAAAATGCTTCCAGAACAAGGGTTATCCTTGCAATCTGTATTTTAATGGTAACTCTCTTGAAGGCTTTCCAGGGCTCCAAGAGGGCATCTATGCTCACCCAGGTGGAACTGTTACAAAACCAGAGGCCACATTAAGCAGCAAGCCTCCTGAATCTTCTGAAGAATCTAAACAAAGAGCTGTCAGTCATGACTTTGGCTCATGGTCAGCCTTCTATCCCGATTCTAGTAATATGCTGACGCACCAACCTACTGCCTTTGAGGGACGGTTCTATCCATTTGCAATAAATTATCAATTTCAGTATACCCCGTCAAACATGTTTCCTCCAAATTATCCACATGATTACTGCTTCCAAGATTTTCAATGCTTTATTGTTATTGATTTTGAGGCAACGTGTGACAAAGAAAAGAATCCTCATCCACAAGAGATAATTGAGTTCCCATCAGTAATAGTGAACAGCATTACTGGACAGTTGGACGCATGTTTTCAAACATATGTGCAACCAACTTGCAACCAACTCCTGAGTGATTTCTGCAAGGATCTGACAGGCATCCAACAAATTCAGGTTTGTTTTGAATGTATTTCAATCATTTTGTTCGTGCTTGTCGAGAGAGAGAGAAAAAAAAGTTACTGAAGGTGATACCCATATAAGACTAGTAGATTTCCATCGAGAGAGAGAGAGAGAGAGAGAGCATATACTGAGATGGGTTTCTTCAGGGGGATAGAGCACATATTGAGATCGTTTCTTCGGTCCAATACTTTCTTGGTTACGCTTCAAATTCATTGTGGAAGAAAATTCACAAGGCTATATTCCAGGCATAAAACCACGATGGTGTGCAGTGTGCTACTTGGCTTGAATAAGGTAGTTGATAAGGATTAGGATAATTTGCTTGGATTTTAAATTTCAAATATTGATCACTCTATCCATATACGATTTTCTTTAAAATACTAACCATATTTATCCACATGCTATATAAACACTTTTGTGATTTAAACCAAAAAATTTGATTAAGATTGGATTAGATATATTCTCAACTTAAAGATAAGTCAATCACACATAAAATAATTCTATAACAAATTTATTTGAATTTAAAAAATTATAATCTCATTTCATATATTATATACAAGATCACGGTTTATGAAAACCCAACCAATTCACATGCCAAAACAAAAAGGAACACATTTTGATTACTGTGAGCTTAAACAGATTTGATAGGATGCACGTGTACATCAATAGCCAAAAATGATTTTGTTATAGTGGATGGGATAATAGAATTGGATGTGGTTTAATCATTTTTCAAATTAAAGATAATCAAGATTATATAACTAAAATATTATATTCTTTTCCTAATTATCTTAAAAGACACAACCTTTTGCTAATCAAGAAAACTATCTTTGTTATAATAGATTTCAATTAGAAAACAGAATTAGACATTTTTCCATGTTTTGCAAATAAAGATTAACGTGATTATATAATAAAATATTATAATCTTAATTTGCTAATTATCTTAAAAGGTACACTATAAAAAAAATACATATAAAATACATTCCCTTGAATTAATTTATTTCCAATTAAGTTACCATTATCCATGCATGCACACATTAAGATAAGTTGGACTCCTACTTGCATAGGATACAAGGCTTAATTTATTTTAATACAAACGAACAATATAACTAATAAAACTCTTATTTAATTTACGTTTATTTTCTTTTGTCAAACTGAGAGCAAAAGTGGAGAACTTTAATAGAATTTGATTGCAATGGGACTTAATCACATAAATTATAGTTTACTTATGCCTGATTCCAAATCATTCCCTAGCTAACTAATAAGGGAAACTAAGCAAATTAATCCTTAATCTAAAGCACACGTGGTTATACATATTATTTAAAATAATATTACTTACCAATTTCACTAACAATAAAGCTTAAAACTTTAGAACTATAAAATCTTGGCTATAACTTGTTCAAATTAACTTTTTCTCAAGTCTAAAATTCATAATTAATTACAAGCTACCTAATGAGCCCAGTATCGATATATTTTACTTACTCTATCAAATTTAATTATTTGACTCAAAATATAAGAATTTAAAATATATTACATCTTAGTCCCTCAACGTTTGAAATATAACATATAAAACAAATATGTTTTTATTCTAAAATTTTCGGGATGTTACAGATGATATCCACAACCTCCCCATGATTCCAAGTAATAAAACTCAGGACAATATAATAACTGAATTACAACATCACAATTCAATGTGGTATCACTCAAACAGCCCTAGTAGCATCAACACAAACCCTCCACATTTCAGTTTAAATTAGGGGCGGCGCCAGTGAGGGACAAATTTATTTATTTTTCTGCACTGGTTGATAAATATTAGAGGGAAAAAAACAAAAAACTTCGAAATTTTAAATGGATTTGTGGTGACTTAGGGCCTCCCTCTACGCCTAGTTTAAAGTGGATAGAAGACAACCACTAACCTCGTACTATGTTGCCATCGAACAATGCCATAAGTACAGAAATAACACTTAGGCCCCGTTTGATTCTCATTATTTGCTCATTAAAATGAAAAATATGACCGTTATTCATCACATTAATCCATCATATTAGATTTTCTATTTTTTATGTAAGGTCTGTAACGACTATATTTCCATTCTCATTTTTAATGTGTACCAAACAGGGTATTAGAGAGTTTCCATTAAAAAAAAAAAAGGCCAACAAGGTGCTAATATGACAGCACCCTTGTCAAAAGCCTACGTTTCAACCTAATTGCTTTATGATTCATTTTTTTCCTAATATTGAGATAATGTAAAATGCGTTCTTCGATCATAGTAGCCTATATTAATACAAGATAAGATGATTAAAATCGTCAAGTATTTCAAAATTTTTATTTTCATTCTGAATTTTTTCACTATTCAAACTAATTTCGAATGCAATAATTGGATCAAATTTCACTAAGTTACATATTTAGTAGTAAGTAAGATGATTACTTTTCATTATTTCATGGTTTTTTCTTCATAAGTGAGCATGCATGCCTATTTTCCAAATTTAGCCAAATATAGATTCATTCATATTGTATGTGCATCATAATACTTCACTCAATAATAAATGAGCAACTTTTTTACCATTCAAGCTCATGTGAGCAAACAACAGCTAAATTTAATAATGAATTGTCATTCATACTAATTATAAATTATAATTCAAGAACATTCACTCACAAACTTTATATATTTGAATGGGGGGCGGGGGGGCGTTGGTGGGCAGGGAAAATAGTCTGCATTCCCTATTTGCAAAAGACAACTTCAAACATAAATGATTGCATATGCATATATAATCCTTCTACTTAGCTCAAGAATAGATACCATCCGTTCTTTCTTCAGTCGCCCTCGACCTCTATCCCGGCTTCCCAAGAATAATGGACAATGGTGCTTAGACAGCACACCACCAACGACCATTAAACTAAAAGCCTGTGAAGATATGGCTGTCTCAAGGGAAAGTTTTGGGGCACCCCTGACTCTGCTGTAAGCTTTTTTAAAGCACTCCGCAATCTTCGAGTCACAGGTCCCACGCTGCCATCACCTATTGTGTGACCATCAATCTTAACAACCTAGTACAGTTCAGAATAATAGAAAAACATCACCACACCTGAAGTCAACATTAAAAAAAATTTTAAATGATGTTTATGATCATTTTAACCAAGGAACAAAAGATTTTAAAACCATCGAGTGGACCATACATGTTCTCAGTTCAACCAAACTACATTAATTTAAGAAGTTTATCTAAAGAAGCACCTTTTAAAGAACCTTAAGATTTTGCTTTCCTTCATGCTCTCTGGTAGTAACAATTTATTATAATAGGAGTTATGACTAAAGTAGCAAGGAAACTCATAAATCTTAACAAGCAAAAAAGATCTAGTCTTGACAATTTTATCTGGAAATCGTGTGAAGTAAATAAAAGGAGAAATAAAGGGAATGAACCGTGTGTCAAAGAGTTAAGTCAATGATTTGGGCTCAAATTGTTGAGCCATAAACTACTTATGATCAGTATCAGACCATAATATATTAATAATGACTTACTGGGCTGAGCTCTCCAATAGTTCCTACAGTCCATACCTGCAGGAAAACAGTTAATCAAATGGTTAAACAGAGGAGTATTACCAGAAGCATCATCAGTGACCACTTTGACGAATTACACATGTATGTCACAATTCCCTACAGTCAATGAGAAAAGAGAAAAAAAGGGCGCAATGAAACCATCCATTACTTTCTCATGCAACGGAAATGTGGTAATACATGCTATAACGACCAAAGTGTCCACTTCGAATGGCATACAATCAACTAGGATCCCACTGCCTTGGATATGCAATGAAAAGAATAAATGCAAACACATGAACAGTATGTTATGTGTGACTTTCGATCACAGGATGACAAGAAAACTTATTTTTCCTGTTAAAATATATAATCAGGAAATGTTCAAGAGAATCCTACAGACAATCGAAGATAAAGTAATTAAAAATTGATTGCGTGAACTAGTAAAGTAACAGTACCAAGACTAAATTGATTCTTCTGCACATAAAACATAAAAAGTGAGTTTGTTTTCTTTCTTGAAGAGGCCAAAGATAATGGCTTAAATCCTAGAGGCAAAAAATATTGGGTACAAAAAGCAAGATCTCTCTTAAAATAATTATGGGAAAGAAAGTAAACGGCCTGACTCACATACAGAGACAAAATCACATGCATTATCACTCAATATGTTCAAGAATAAACAGGCGTGAACAGATTGGACACTTCGACAAACTCCTCAACAATGTTAGCATCCAGATATGATTGATTCCTTGTGTATCTTAGAGTGAAAGATATTCTCTGGATTTTGCCAACAGTTTGGTCCCTTTTGATATTGCTCCTCATATTTTTCTTTGGTATCAAGAGTCAAGTGTCTGACTCGTAGCACAGGAATAACCACATCTTTCGAGGATATGTGTGAAATATCCTATATCAGAAGAAATCTTGGCAAATAACAAAACAGACCTCATCTGCCGTATGGAACTCTGATAAACTGATACGCTGCTCCTGTACAATCAACCCTTCCTTTATTACAAGGTCCATGACCTGCAAATACAGATATGTCTTGCTTATAAAGCATGTAAGAGCCAGTAAATTGTCAAAATAATCTTCAAATAAGCATAATATAAAATTACGCATGCATTAACATGCCTCTATGCAAATAAGACAATTAAAAAATGATTTTGCAAAAAAATAAAATAAATAAAATCTGCTAAAATATTCAGATGAAGTTAATCATTTGAAATTGTTGTCTTCAGGTATCGAAGAAGAGAAAAATAATTCTTATATTTCCTATAACCAATCAAATTGTTGTAGTTGAATTAGAAGATTCATTCACACAACTAACATTTCAGGATATTTAACCTCCATGCATGAGGCTATAGAGAGACACAGACATTAAAAAAACAGATCACAGTCAGTATTCCTTATTGAGCTTGCCAATGGAGAATTAGAAATCATCGAGAATCATCTTTTATCAATATTTATAAGTGAAAATAAATCTTATTTGATTCATGAAAAAGCTGGGAAGAAAGAATCAAGCGAATTAAGTACTGCATCCATACATATTGAAAATTTTGGAAGAGTATATTATGAAGCTTACTGTTGCCCGTGTTATGCCAGGAAGACAGTAATCAGCATGAGGTGTTGCTACACGGCCCTTTTTCACTAGAAACTGTAGCATAGGGAGAGAAAATTGTTAAACACTCAATAGATGGTTTCCATAACAAGATGCGGAATGCCAATAATTTGGAGCCAGATTATCTACTGCCAAATGGTCCACGGATAGTGGGATAATTCTATTTTGCCAAATGCAAGTTACTAGCAAAGGGGGAAAAAAATGTCAAATGAAAATTCCAAAAGAAAAAGATCGGGACAAGCAGTGCCAGATGAATCTCCCACCCCATACCACCTCTTTCTATGACACCTCAAGTAAGAACTAAATATTGTCTGATTAACAATGTTTCTTAGGATATAGTGACTGAAAACCACATCAACATTCTTCCTTGGGATGTATCCAATGAAACCTCATCCCGGTACTAGGCTACTAGCTCTTTCCTAGGTATAACGAAGTGCAAACCAAGGAGATTGTATGTTTGTTATGATCAATGATCTTACTATGTTTGTCGCATTTGTTTCTGACACATAGCCATCTTTATCAAGCATGATAGCATCATCAGCACTTGCATTATTCCCTTCTATCTGCACCAACTCCAAAAGTTATTTGAGTCAAACTATATATAACTCCCTAACTATGACAAAGAATTAAGAATATAAAAATATTACAGTAGGATTCTACTTAAGCAAGTTACAGGTAGATTAACCAATATACCTTCGCAAGGATATTGTTAAGAAGGTTGTTGTGGTGAATTTTTGAATCCAAATTCTGCAAAAACAAGACAAAATTTTAGATTCCATGGTTATAAAACTCAACATTGCATAAAGTTTACCAGAGAGATTTATGAATTATAATTGAATAAGGAATGAATTTCAACGACAGTGTACACAGATTGGAAAATTCTGATGATGTGAAAATTTATATGATCCTTGAATTCATGACCTCAATCCGATCAAGTAAAACATTTTCTAGTTTAATGAACTGATTGAAATACGCACTTCTGCTTAGTTTGTACAACCAATTAACTGTAGTTAACAGAAGACCTTCATTTGTGTGATTTTTATGAGCATGAGACATGAGATTAAAATAACTTGAGAATTGAATCACATTAAGGGCGGATGGGCCACAACATATTTTAGTTATAAATTGTAAATGAACAATCTGGGCAGTATGAGATTATTTTAAATGTATCATACCAGTCAGATCTTGCATCTTAGGTTGACCAAGTTAGATCTAGAACAATAGATAAAAGAAAAGAAAAGCGGGATCCGGAGAAGTAATTCAAGCAGATCGTGGAATCCAAAAGGAAGAGATGAAAGAATACAAATAAAGAGCCTTACATTTGGTGAATTACGGCATGTGGTTGCTGTAACCAACGTTATACCCTTCTCATTCTCATAGATTGGGGGATTCCATTCAGCAAGCACTGCGAAGGTACAAATAAAAACTAGGCCTATATTTACCAAAATACAAACGTAATTTTTTCACAGAGTACAAAAGTTTGTTCTTTGCAAGGATAGCAGCACCAGAAAAAGTGAAAAACAAAGGTTTTGGAATGTGAAATGACTATGGGCAACTTGCTCCCTTCATTGACCGAAATGTGCTTTAAAAAAAATCATGTTCTATAACTCATGGATCCCAAAAATAAAATAATTCTTCAAGCAAATTTTACCTGGGGAACCCTTAATTATTGTGCGTCTCATAAGAGCAGAGCAGAACCCTTCTATGTTTTTGCAAAAGAAAAAACTAATACTTAAAAAGTCTAGATAGCTTAGTCATTTCCTGGGGACAGAGTTCTCATCATTGCATCCTTAACTTGAGACAGGCTTTCATTAGACCAATAAACTCTTTTCAGCAAAGTTCCATCTAATTTGAAAAACGAGAACTTGACGAACTGGGGCTGTACAGAAAGGTCCGAGGAAGTTATTTCTCGTCTCCCACTGAAAATATTGGGCAGCCTTTGTAAATTCTTTTGATAGTGATCGGGGTCTTTTTAGCTTACAAATTTATATTACACCAAAATTTTATCATGAGAATTGGTTAAGGAGGAAGCGAAGGAAATTAATAAAAAGTCATATTAAAAGTAGAGCTTATATTTTCCAGTTGACATAAAACATGGAGCATGGTTTTTAGTCTCAATTGGTTGTTTATGCAATTGTTCTATGTAAAAGGTTCATCAGAGACTTTATACATGATCCTTTGGAAATGAGAAGGAGAATAGGGGAGCAAATGCCCACAGCACAACCCAAGATTCAAAAAGCAGGTCATTGGGGCAGAAGTGCCATATAACCTAAACGTGAGACATAGTTTATGCCACAGCCAATGCTAATTATGTAAGGGAATAAGCACTACACATATATCTTACCGATTAATGTACATCCATAAAGGTTTAATGATGGGCTCATTCCAGAAGTTACCTGGAAAACCAGAAAATAGGATGACTAAAAGCATAAACCAATGGAATAATTCTAGACTAGTACAGGAGAAATGTGGAATACCCAAGTTAGTCCCAAGTAATATTTTTGGAAACTTTCATCCGAGGAACAGGAGGTTCATGTTGTAGAAGCAGGGAAAGTTACATTGGAATATATGCCATAGAACATAAAAAAGAATTAAATACAAAAATGCACTCCTTTGGCTATTAAAAGTATCAGGAAACCTGTAATCTCCTTACCACCCGCTTTCCCTGATTTCCAAAACTTCCAGTTCATTTCACTATGTTATCGTTCTTTAATAACCTGATTTTACTGCAGTATTGCCCATAATCAGAAGTCAATCATCACTAACCTTTATTATTTTACCTAATGTGTTCGAACATGGTTGGTATCAAAATGAAGTACTAGCAGTTCAATATTATGATATATTATTCCATGCTATGCCAATATTTAAGTACAAGAATAAGGCTTAGTTTGTGGTGGTTTTGTTGTGACTAGCAATATCTAAGTACTGAACACTGAATTGTCAGTGATATTGTGGGGGTATCAGGCCACAAGACATTTCTCTTTTATTTTCCCATCAGTCCAGCCACAAGATCACCAACTGCTTAATTTAAATATATGAATACCTTTCTTTCTTTTTTTATTTGTTTCTTTGTGGGAAGGGGAGTAGAAACCAGACGGAACATGATCAGTTGTCTCCTTTTGCATATCACCCATCCAAGGGCTTAATATTAAGCTATGTATAATTCATTAGCATGTCTCAGTCCAGGTAACGTGGTATATTATACCAAATTTTCTTTTATGATCAAGGGAAGGCATGTAGGAAGGATTCCTTACATGTTGCTAATTATTTAGATGCAGAGGAAAATGTTGGCTTGGCCCTCCCAAATTAGAACTTGCACCATAACCATAAAGAAAACTGAGGAGGAATTACAGTGAGCGTATAATCATAAGCAAAGGGCCTTGTTGGGGGCATTTTAAGAGGAACATAAAGCCCATCAATTTATTCGGAGAGTTCTCGGTATTCTATACTTTCATCTGGATCTAAATATGGCTAAAGCTTCTTCAGAATTTACCATTCAGTTAACGATTTTCTTCATGCATGTGCACTTATGTAAAAGCAACCCCAAGCTACATTACAATTTCAAAGTTTGCCTACCCTACAAGGGAGGAACCAAATAAGAATAACATCTGCCTACCTTCTTTCCACGTGTCAGAGTGAGTCTAATGTGTGCCTCATCAAACATCCCATTCCTTATTAGAGTTTCAAATATGGCATCCTTCACCTGCAACTTGAAAGTCTTAGTGATAAGTAAAAACAAAGACTACCAGGCTCCAATGATAGGCACAAAGAACAGTTCAATAATTAAATAAACTGTTTGCATCAACAAGTTACTATTTTGTACGTGTATAAAACCACCGTCACCTGTTCACGAGTTGGTACATTGCTAAAGGCTAGAGCTTCTGCTGAGTCAAACAACCTGGAAATAAGAACTAGTTCATTAAATATGTATAAATACATATGCTTGTGTGTAGTTTCAAAACTATGCCACCTGTTTGACCCCCCACTTCTTAGAACTCATTTTTCTCCAAACTCATTTTCAATTGCAAATTTCAAGGGACCTACAATATTTATCAACTTTTCAACCACACATTTCACCAGCTTTTATCAAAAATCTACTAAAAGTCTAATTTTTATCCAAACAAACAGGGGCTACATGTGTGCGCATGTATATTTTATAAGTCAAATGAGAAAGTTCCTACACAGACATCATGAATTCAGGAACATTTTCTCCTGATATTCTGTGCTTCATTGACGAGAGAAGTGAAGAAAAATGAAGTAGGAACACATTCTGATGTCAACTGGTCAAGTAAATCACATTCTTCCCCATAGTCATTTCAAATGTGAGCATGATCATCACTCATACAATATAAGCCCCCGCTTGGCCCCATCAATTTTCATTCCATTACATTCATTTTTTTCTCTTCTATTTTCAATCACACAATCTTCTATAAAATAATATTACACGTAAATCGAAATTTTTTTCTTCTTTTTCAACCACTCATTTAAAAAAAAAAAAAAAACACTATTCCACCCATTTTCATTTCTACAAAATGGGGGCCAAATGAGGGCTAAATCAGTTTCCAAGTCTGATTTTTGTAGACCATCACCACCCCAATTTTGTTAACGAAGCTTTTCCCTTAGTTCACTCAGGTTGAGAAAATCAGTTATAGGAGGAGATTGTCAGAAAAGTAGTTTTTATTAGCTTATTAAATTTACTGACATGTAGAAAAAACACAATAAAAAATTAACTTTTAAAATGGCACACAACCAACTATTAGCAGACAATGAAGAAGATAATTTGACAATGTTTTCCTATTCGTAAGATAATACTACTCATCATAATACTACTAATATATTGAACAAGTTCAATAATGTCAAGTAATTCAAGAATGAAGTATTATAACTTCTCTTTAATCCCTTTCACTTACCGATCTAAATGCTCCTCTAATTTAAATATCTTCCCATTATAAACTTGAAGCCCTTCCCAAACTGCATCGCCACCTTGGACAACAAAGTCTAGAACGGAAATCTATAATGTTCAATAACAAAACCAAAAAACATTTAAACCTTTCTGGTACATTAAAGTATGACATTGAGAGCTTCTACCTATGTGATTCTCTACATTTATAGAAAAGCACCTTTGCACTTTCACGGGGCACAATCCCATTACCAACCCAAATAAGCAACTTCTCATTGGCAGGAACTGGAAGTGTAGGCTGGAGGGATATTATACCACTCTGCTTCACATGGCGCCTAAGCATGTTATAGAAAGGTAAAGATTGCTCCAGCAAGTTGTACAAAGCAGGTGGAAAAGGCTGACAAGTTAAACAGGGGAAAGACGTCAACCAGGTCTCATAAAAGGGTACCAAGGATCTTGTAATTATTCAATCATCATATTCCATCATAAGCATGCAACAAGTGGGCTTCACAGATTAGTATATTGTTATTTATTTCTGCTAGCATGACTTGTCATACTTGACCACATATGCTGAATCATTGAAAAGGCTTCCGAAAATGTAATTTAGAAAGAATTAAAATTGATAATTAACGAAAAAAAAGAATGTAAAACACAGCAAAGATGTATAAAACAACAAGAGGATGCTTTAGAAAGTAATTCCGCAAGACTAACCTGCTACTCAAAAGATTTTGCTCAAAGTGGCATTTTAATATATAAAATTCATTAAGAAGCAGGAAGAATAAAATAAGAAAAACCACATTTGAATTCCAGCATTAGCGTGCACGTGCAATTCTAGGCAGTATATGGTAATTAAACTGTGTTCAACTACTGACTCCAAGAAAATATGCAGGTGCTCTTCTCCTTACCGTAGGATAATAGTTTGCGGCCCAAATGCCATCAAAGGATTTTGGCCCTGCTTCCCGTCTGTAAATGGAAAGTTCAAACAATCATACGCATATGTAAGTGCAACGTTAAAAAGTGTGACAAGTTATTCATTTTGGAAAAATTGCTCCAGTACTAATTTACCACTCCCTTTTCCTCACAGACAATCTTTAAGACTGCAACACTTTATTTATACCTTTTGAAATGCAGATTCTCCATAGTCTTGGTTCTGTTTATGTATGTTATGTTTGCATGATGCAGAATGAGACAAACAATGTCCTTTCTAATATGCAGCATGTTACACTCCCCACCCCAGCAATGTACACACTACCTCTCCCTGAAAGACAAGGAGTACAAAGGCAAACACTCAGTGAAAAGAGCTACGAGTGAACAAGAAAATTCCTTTAAATCTGCCTTAAGGATAGTTTCCTATCCAAAAATCTGCCTTGAGATGATAAGTGAATTCGTGAATGATCCTAGAGAAGTGCACATGGAAGTAGTGTTTAGAGTACTTGTGAAGAAATCTCGAAATTATGGGTTACTTGAATATTTTGTATATTATGTTTAGTTAGGAATAATTTTATTTATTTAAGAGATTACATTCCTTCCCGTCATCATCTGTTGTACCATATATTGAGCAACAAGAGACTTGTACTATCATCGAGAAATATAGAATACATATTTTTCTCATTCATTCCATATGGTGGAAAACACCAACCAAAATTCTGCAAATTCCGAACTTATTACAAATGATGCAAAACTTGCTCCAACCTCGAGTTCATTTGGAATGGATAATTCTTCCTTCCAACTCTCGGTGGAAAAACTGAATGGACGAAACTACAGGGAATGGGCACAGTCAATTAAATTTATTGTCGAAGGAAAAGGAAAAATCGGATATCTTACCGACGATGTGAAGCAACCAGCATATGTGAATCTTCAAAAGAGATGGAAGTCCGAAAATTCCATGGTTATGGCATGGCTTGTGAACTTAATGAAGCCTTCAATTGGTAAAACCTACCTCTTCATGCCAACAACTTGAGATATATGGGAGGCAACCCGTGAGATGTACTCCAACGCTAAAGACATCTCAAATTTTTGAAATTAAAACCAAGCTCTGGCAATTGAAGCAAGGAGAGAGAGGTGACAGATTACTACATGGAAATGACAAATTTGTGGCAAGAATTGGATTTGTGTGTTGAGGAGGAATGGGATTGCCCCAAAGATAGTGCTCGGTACAAAAAAGGTTGGAAAACGAACGAGTTTACGAATTTTTGGCAGGGTTGAGTTGAGAGCTGGACTATGTGGAAGGGAGGATACTGGGTCATTGACCATTGCCATAGCCACGTGAAGTATTCGTCGAAGTCAGATGAGAGGAGTGCTAGCGACTTGTAATATTGAAGGAGACTAGGCTAGCTAGGAGTGATATATTGGCCCTCTTGTTAATATTGGGCCAACAAATTTACACGGAATTGGGCCTATACATGGGTCTAATGGAGTTTGGTCACATGGGAATGCAACCATTGCTAAAAAGACTTATTTAAATGGGCCTAAGGCAGTTGGGCCTAACGGATCAACCCAGAATTTTAGATGACTAATCAAAATTGGATCGGGTCCAAAAAACGAAAGGGACGCCCATTGTGTGATCATTGTCTTAAGCCTAGACATGATGAAAATACGTGTTGGGATATACATGGAAAACCAACAGACTGAAAGCTCAGATAGAACTCCAAAAATAAGGCCTATCAATTTGCAGTCAATTCCATTGAGATAAAAACCTCTACTTCAAAGGGTGCATTCAATCCCAGACAGCTAGAACAACTCTATAAAATGTTCTCCGATTTCCAAACATCTGGTTCGGCAAGTTCATTAGCCCACAGAGATAATTTCTTAAGAGCTCTTAATACTACCACATCCTTTTCCCGAATACCATGGATTATTGACTCAGGCACGTTCGACCATATGACGGATTCCCACTATCTATTTTTCACATATTCACCTTATGTTGGGAACCTCAAAATCAAAATTGCAGATGCCCACTCTCTCCAGTAGCTCGAAAAGGGAGTATTCGCATCTCTAATTCAATTACTTTAAACAATGTTCTTCATGTTCCAAACCTGTCCTGCAGCTTATTATACATTAGTCATCAATTAACAAAAGACTCAAATTCTTCTGCCAATTTTTTCCCTTCTCACCATGTCTTTCATGATCTATTATCAAGGAAGACAATTGACAGTGCTAAAGAATGTAAGGGACTTTACTACTTCGACGAGACGAATGTGATTTGCTAGTTGTGATTCTGCATTTTGTTCCTTCGAATAGTGACATTTTTTATGGCATTATAGAATGGGGCATCCAAATTTTCAATATTTAAAGTCATGTATTCCCTTCAATATTCTTGAATAAAAGTTCTTTTGAGATTTAATGTGAAATGTGTGAACTTGCAAAACATCTTCGCTCCTCATTCACGAAATCTACATAATCATCCAAATTATTTACGATGATTCACAGTGATGTGTGGAGACCTTCATGAATCCCTAATCGCACCCACACAAAATAGTTTGTCACGTTTATCGACGGCCATACACGAATTTGCGGGGTCTATATGTTAAAAGAGAAAATTGAAGTCTGGCCGGTGTTTATAAATTTCCACTCGATGGTAGAAGCCCAACTTCAAACAATAATTCAAATTCTGTGCACTGATAACGGCACAGAATATTTCAACAATACCCTAAAAAACTATCTTCAAGAAAATGGGATAATACACCAAAGTTCTTGCGTCGATACCCCTCAACAAAATGGGATCGCTGAACGAAAAAATAGACACTTGAGGTTGCCCATGTCCTAATGATCACTACAAACACGCCTGCAAAATTTTGAGAGGACGCCATTTTAACATCAACTTATCTTATAAACCGAATGCCAAGTCTTATTCTCAACCTCGAATCTCCCCTACAAAGATTCCAGAAATTCTTCCATAACTCTCGTCTGAACTCAAGCATACCTTTAAGAGTGTTTGGGTGTACAACATTTGTCCATATCAACTCTCATCACCTCGTGCACTTAAGTGTGCATTCATTGGTTATTCACCCACACAGAAGGGCTATAAATGATCCCACCACAAAAAAAAAGTATTCATCAGCTATGACGTCACATTTTTCGAAGAAACTCCTTACTTCCAAAAACCTTCTCTTCAAGGAAAGAAATCAAGTGAAGATCCATTCTTGGAAATTACTCTCTCCATCTGAATCCTTCGCAACCACTGAACCTACTAAAACACCTTGTCCTACTGAATCCCCTAAAGAAGACAATTTGAATCAAGGGGAGCTGCAAAAGAACAACGTGATAAGGAGATGTTAGTTTACTCAAGAAAGCCAAAGTCAAAGTATAAGGGAGACCTCACACTCGAGGTACAAAAAGAGTCAAAACTGATAATAGATCCAGATGTTCTAGGAAATCGTCTCTGAAACCTCTTACATTAACTAGTTTATTGCTCTCAGGAAACAAACTCGATCATGCACCATGGACCCTATATCTAAATTCATAGCTTATAAAGCCTGATCTCCAAGATTTTGAACTTTTGTTTCTAACCTTGACAGTGCAGAAATTCTAAAAAAATTCAGAAAGCCTTAGAAATTCCCAAGTGGAGAGAAGCTGCGATGGAAGAAATGAGGGCCTTAGAGGAAAATGAAACATAGGATGTGATGGAACTACCAAAAGGAAAGAAACCTGTAGGGTGCAAATGGGTGTTTAATGTGAAATACAAAGCAGATGGGACAACTGAAAGGTACAAAGCTTGTCTGGTTGCAAGGGGTGGGTATACTCAGACCTATGTCATAGATTATACATAAACGTTTGCACCTTTAGCAAAGTTGAATACAATTCGAGTACTCTTATCTCTAGCAGCAAATTTAGATTGACCACTCCAACACTTGACATAAAAGATGCATTCTTGAAGGTAAGTTGGATGAAATATTCATGACACTACCTCCTGGTTTTTGTACAGAGAATGGAGACAACAGGGTATGTAAATTGAAAAAAATCACTATATGGGTTCAAACAGTCACCTCGAGCATGGTTTGGTAGATTTGCAAGAGTATTAAGAAATCAAGGATATCACCAAGCACAGTCAGATCACACCATGTTTTTTAAATGATTTGAAGATGGGACAAAAGCTATTCTAATCGTATACATGGATGATATAATCCTTACTGAAGACAATACAATTGAGATGGGAAGGCTTCAAGACTAAAAAGAAGTTTAGGCACTGAATTTGAAGTGAAAGATTTGGGACCAATGAGATATTTTCTTAGGATGGAAGTAGCGAGATCAAAAAGGGGCATTAGTGTTTCACAACGAAAATATGTTATGGACTTGCTAACTGAAACTGGTATGCTTGGATGCAAGCCAAGTGAAACTCCTACAGTCCTGGTAGAAAAATAGATGACAGTGGAAAATTTGTTGAGAAAGACATCTACCTATTACACACTAGACCTAACATTGTATTTGCAGTTAGCATGGTAAGTCAACATATGCATTCGCCAAAGGAAGCTCATCTGGAGGCAGTATATAAGATTCTAAAATACCTTAAAGAGTTTTCTTAGAAAATGATTGTTTTTTAAGAAAGATGGAAAGAATGAAGTAGAAGTATTCATTAATGCTAATTGGACATGATCAATAGAAGACAGAAGATCTGTAGAACCCCAAATAATTCTAGACATCTTAGTGGCACTAAGACGTGAATATTGGATGACTAAAGTATACTCCAGATTTTTAGTCTCATTTGAGACCCATTTTCGACATAGGAAACATTCGATTTGAAAAATGATATCTAAATAAAAGTTGTAGCTCTTTGAGTTAGCTTTCCAACGCACTTTGAATTAACTCAATCGGATATCAGGAGAAGAAGTTATGATAGAAATACTGAAAGCTGTATAGTGTCAACCGAACTACAACCGGTCGACCAAAACTGCCTGAAATGAAAAATTCTCGTTTTTCTCTAGAATTTAAATATTTATTTTTATCAATTATTTTCTCAAAGGGCC